CAAAATTCCTTCATTTATCAGTTCTATTGGGAAAGATGGAGTGAAAGTGATTTTCAAGATTTTTCATAATTTATCTGATAATCTTGAAATTAAAAGTGTATTAAATGTACAATGTCAAAATGTCAGAAATACGATTTTTTTAAACAAAAATTGAACTTCCAAAAATAAAACACCTGAAAAGACAGTTTAATGAAAAAGGGTTGATTGCTCTACTTACCGGATATACAGAGAATGAAAGTGTATTTCAAAGTAATTGATTTCTTCACACTTTTTGTAATTTCATGGAAATAAGAAATACCTACTCATTCTGGTGCCTGTCTGGCTTGGAATTTTCGACACCTAAGAATATAAATACAAGTTGTAAATACGAATTGAAATTTCTCATTATTTTTTATTATTTTCAAAGACTTCATCGATTAGCCTGTATAAATCTAGCCAATATAGTGACCGAGCCAATCATAACTCGAAGATAAACCACCAAGGTAAAACCATCTTACCGCCTTTCTAACACCTTTCGTGCCAATAAAACATTCATATATTCACTTTGATTGTTCGAAACATACATGTAAGTCGTCAGAATTTAGGATTTTCAATTATCTTGTAACCATCTCAAATCGTTATTTCAACTCTAAATTATTTGTACATATATAAAGATATTAGGAAGCGTAATTTCAGCTTTTTTCTAAATGACCCCTAATATGAAATTAAAAAGCAACTCCATTAGTTGGTCGTTCATTTTTATTATGATGCTATGAAGATACTATCAGACATAGAATGGTAAACAATATGGGACCCACCGTTAATGTTCATCTATTTGACGCTCACGTTTCTAAAAGACAAAGTGAGGAAATATAGCCAATGAACAATTTAGTAAATTTCAATGTTAAAAGAAGAGAAAACACGATATAAAGTAACATGTAAAAGTTGTAGAATACTACTAGAAGGTTAGGAATGAATACATCCGAGTTAATGTTCTTAATTTTAAGTTACACCACCTGATCTCTCTGATTACACACTAAAGCTGTGCTTCACTGCTTAATAAAAAGACTGTATTTCCCTACAAGACCATAACTATAAGTTAGTAATATCATGAAATACTGATTTTGTGACCTGGTTTAGTTAACGTAGGCCCTTTCACAACCTGCATGAACAGCAGTTCTTGGAAAAGGCTAATGAAGCCATGTTTAAGTAAATCAAACGATATAAAAGCAAATCATGAGGAGATTTATCAAATGTAAATGTATCTCGATCCCTTAGGAAGTCAGTCGCGACCCGTATAGCTCGACGGTAACTTCTTTGACTGTAAAGCTGGGTGACACGAGATCAAATTTGTCAGAGAAAATAAGTTCCTTTAAGACTACAGTTATACCTTACTAACGAATGCCGATTAGTGAAACTTATGTCCGTTGTTTTCTGTCAAGCATCTTCAACTACCACCTACATTACATGGTAACGCCTTTTCTTCTCCTTAAAGAATTTTCAGTGTGATACTTTGTTTCATTTTTCGGTTGCTTAAGTGATATTTCGCACATCACTCAGAAATCTTGGTCAGAGATTGTTTAGCACAGACACCAAATGAACTTAAATTTATTTCTACTTTTATTCATCTATTCAAATATAATGGAAACTTTATGCAGAAACTAAAACTGTGTTTTATACAGGTGGTTCCCTTTAAAAATTTAAACAAATATTATTTATTTGAAAATTAATTGATAACAATCATAAAACATATTAACTGACAAGTTGAGATGTTTTTTTAAAACATTTTTCATGTTTACTTGTTTATCTGTTTAATCTATTCATTTCCTTTCTCCCTTTGAATCTTCTTTTTCCCTTTTCATTTTTAAGGTTTTTCTTGTTTTGTTTTTGTCATATAAAAATTACCATTCAGGTTTTGCTACCTGTGCATTTACGGTACAGTAAGTATGAAGGGAGGAGACAGAGAAGCATAATGTATGTATTTGTATTTGTGTATAATTAGCAAATCCCTATCATTACAGATCGCAAAATCAGTTGTTCATCAACTGTCCAATAATTATCATGTTACAAGATGAGAAATAATTATTTTATTAGAAATACGATCCGACTTAAGTAAACTAACCATTGGATAGCAAGAAACACTGGGGAATCGCTAGAAGATCTCTATACTAAAGGTTATCATGTCCTTACTTGTGACTGATTTCCACAGGTGGTTCTAGAAGTTCAGATGGAAATTTATGACTAGTGGTGTTCAACTGTGTTGTATTTAAAACAGGGGATTATCTGTGCGCAATACCACACAAGTTGAATTCGCACACTATAGGGTGACGGTTCGTTGGTCTCAAGGTTAAGTATTTACTGAGAAACCTGAGGACGGTAATTTCGACCATTGGCGGGGTCGCGGAAGTCCACTGCTCTGGAATCCCATGCTTGAACAAAGTGGTGATTCAGTATTTTCTGTTTTTATAGGTTCGCCAACATGGGTTATTTTCTGATCTCAATAACATTCAACAATCTCCAGAAACCCCAACCCTGAAAAAATATTTATCTGGCTTCGAACATCTCTATAAGTTATAAAATGGTATACAACAATGATCAGAGTAAAATTCATACGCAAAATGGTGTATTTAATTAGAACAGTCGTCGTATTTTTGTATGATGAGTAAAATTTTAGTCTATCACCAGTTTTTTATCTTCTCCCTTATATGTGCGAGTTAGTGTTTTTCTTGTTTTTATTATCAGTTTTCGCACAGTACTGTATCACTGAAGCACAATTTATTCCAGCAAATGACTTCCCAAAAATAAAAGCTAAACGCCATTGATCACGTAACAGTCGTTTTTCCCAAGTAAGAAACTCTTCAACAGTGTGGATCCATAGTCTTATCAATGTTCAAAACCGTCAAGCACTATGGCAAGCTCGTTACTTTGAGACCACCTAGAAAGAATTCAAAATTTAACACTTCCATTTTCAATCAATCGGCGATATTTCCGAGGTACGATCTATATTCGTCCTGGTAATCTTATTTCTTTTAATTGATTGTAGTAAAACGTGTAAATCTTGAGTATCAGATCATTTTCCCTTGAGTTCAGTGCTTTCCACTTCTGAAGAGTCCTACACTAAGAAGAAACAGGTATCAAGTGTTTACTGATTTTCAGGGGTTGTTTGACTATTAATGAACCGTAAACTCTAAAATGTTGTTTCAGTCAAGTTGTTATCAGACTATTTTGCCATTGAGTTATATGAGAAGATTATTCTCAAAAAGTCTTCACAAAACCACAACAGAAAATTTCGGTTTTCGTATCAATGATTTAAAAAAATATGAGAATTTTAGTGAATCAAAACAACAGAGTAGATTTGAATGCTTTTCATCGTCTATAATAATCACAGTTGGGTATAAGTTAAATGGTCGATTGATAAACGTCTGAATACCTACTGAAAAAAGTGATAAACAAGCGATGTGCTTCAACAGATCACAGATTTTCATATTTTGATTTTCAGTGTAATCTAAGTGATATTAACTAAAAAGAAAATAAAAAATTTAACCGTCTTTGTTTTAATAATTAATTATCTAGTAACGTTCAATAGTTTGTTTTCCGACCTTTGGTATTAACAGAATTCTATCAGAGTATGAAACTGGCTTTAATTTGGTGATTAATCAGCGTATGTTAGTTGAACAATATGTCACACGAGACCAGAATAACGTAGTTGTAAATACTTTGTACCTGAGTAACAAGGTTTTGAATCCTAAGAAGAATATAAGTTTCTTTGAGCATACTAAAAAGTTTTAAATGTCATTTAGTCTCTGTAGAATCCTGACCAAATCGACGTAAGTAATATCTTTCAGTTATTTTCGATTTTTTTTTACATAAACATAGAATCTTCGTTAGAAATATTTAGTCTAATTTAAATATTTTAATCCCATATCTTTAAATAACCATGGTCTTCAGTTGCAGTGATCTGAAATCACTGTTTGTATTCACTAGGTTAACGAATATACGAAAAACTGAATTCACTATGTTCTTATAAAGTAAATAATAGGAAATTAAATCTACATTCATTTATTTCGAATCTACTTACTAATAATTTAATTCGGTAATTCGGATTTCAAAAGTCTCAGTAATCATTACTGTGAAGATCACTCATATTAATACACGTTTACTCTAATAATTAGCACTTAAAAAAGACCAAATAAAATCTACAAATGAAGTAATTACTTTGATTTATGTCAAAAACATAATTCCATTATAAGCTGATTTTTTTTAAACAACTATAATATTGAATTCACTTCGTATTGTTTGTTTGGATCTTCCCATCTTCCCATTCAAACTTCACCCCATCGCACAAGCAAGTGGCTATCAGGACTCAGTGGCCGAGTGGATAACGCGATGGCGTTTGAAGCGAGGGTACTGGGTTCGAATCCCAGAGTGAACATCAACTCTGAGATGCAGGTACATCCAGCTGACGAGTCCCAAATAGGACGAAACGCGCTTGCTGGATTCCATTGCTAGCCACTATCCATCTCTGCTTACCATAACTATAATATTGAATAGTTTTTTTTATCATAAGGAGTTAACAACTGATCTGTCTTGATCGAGTAAACTTTCTGAAGTAAGACTTTAAGTCTGCTCAGTTGAGTAAACAAAGCTAATTCCCGATAATACTCCATGAAAGTGATTTCACACCAACTACCAAAGAGAGTAGGAATTCTTACTTACTGGTTCTCAATTTAGTGACGTGATCATAGTAATATTAATAACAATAAATGTATTTACATGGTTGAGTAATTATAATACCTCATTTCTTCTTATTTAAAATAAGCTTTGAAATGCAAATTTCAAAACTTCCCTTTATCATTGAATGTATTATGGCATAAGTATCCATAGATATCTGATTTGAATCATAGTTAGCAGTTTCATATACATTATTGACTTATTGATTATTGAATATTTCAAATTAGTGAGTCGATATATATATTTATATATATATATATACGCTGTTCATCAATATTGAGATATCTCCCATTGCATTAGAATGATTTCAAAAGAATATTAATAAACTCAATAGAAACTATGCTTTTGAAAGTTATTTTAATTTATGTAATTATTATTATGTTAATTTATCGAGAAGGAAATACTTTGGATTACTTATCAAAGGAATGTGGTAGTAAATCAGAATGGGGCCCATGGCGTTGTCCTGGTATAGGAACAAAATGTACTGCCAACATTGCAACACGTTATAAATGCATCGGTGGGAATTGTACAAATGATAGTCTATGTGCTAAACTTGAAAACCATACTGTAAGTAATAAATACTTGTTGTATATATATATAATGACCGCTGACAACCATTTGTAACAAAATTATCAGGATTTAACGAACAGATTCATCCGCCTGCTTACTAACTTACTCCTGTTACCCCTAATGTAGGTGCATAGGCCGCTCACTAGCATTCTCCATCTAACTCTGTCTTGAACAATCTCTTCCAGTTTTTTCCACTTGCTATTCATCCTTTTCATGTCTGCTTCCATTCTCGGCGCAGTGTGTCCTTCGGTCTTCCTCTTTTTCGTTTCCCTCCACGGTCCCAAGTTAGCACTTGCCTCGGGATGCAGTTTAGTGATTTCTATAATGTATCTCCTATCCACTTCCAACGTCTTTTTCTAATTCTCTGTTCAGTTGGAAGCTGGTTTGTTCTCTCCCACAGTAGGCTGTCAATAATGGTATCCGACTAACGGACATTCAGTATCTTGTGTAGACAATTATTTATAAACACTAGTACCTTTTCGATGATGATGATGATGATGATGATGATGATGATGATGATGATGATGATGATGATGATGATGATGATGATGATGATGATGATGATGATGATGATGATGATGATGATGATGATGATGATGATGATGATGATGATGATGATGATGATGATGATGATGATGATGATGATGATGATGATGATGATGATGATGATGATGATGATGATGATGATGATGATGATGATGATGATGATGATGATGATGATGATGATGATGATGATGATGATGATGATGATGATGATGATGATGATGATGATGATGATGATGATGATGATGATGATGATGATGATGATGATGATGATGATGATGATGATGATGATGATGATGATGATGATGATGATGATGATGATGATGATGATGATGATGATGATGATGATGATGATGATGATGATGATGATGATGATGATGATGATGATGATGATGATGATGATTGTAGTTCTCCACGTTTTAGCTCTATACAATAGAACTGTCTTGACGTTCGTATTATAGATTCTGACTTTGATATTGGTTGACAGTTGTTCTGAGTTCCATATGTTCTTCAACTGTAGGAATGTTGCCCTTATTCTCCAAGATTACTCGAAAAAGTTGTAAAACAAATATTCGATTATCCACAAATATTGTTTTTTTTAATTTTGTAAGACTTAAAAGTGATCTGCATTAAAGTCGTAAGAATTAACAGTGTAATCTCACTCACTGATAAATTATTTCATTAGTGCTCTTAATATACGCTAAACAAAAACTAAATATCGTTAGATTTATTTAAATTTTTTGATAATCGTGTATAAGGTCTTCTATTAAACTGTTTATGAGGAGTAAACACATAGAGGTGATACTAGTTAGTCAATGAAAAGTAATCTGACAGAGCTAGTTATAATCACATCGTCATCAGTTCTTTAGACGAGCAATCATCATATTTAATTTGACAAATTGTTTGCTATATAAATTAGTAGTGTGCCTGACAAAACTTACGTAAGCTATCATACATAAACATTAGAAATATAGTTGCTTTTACACCTACCAATTTATTAACAGGACATTTTATCGTATTTTTATTATTGAGCCAGCAATCGGATTCTTGTGTAAAAGTTCTTGAACGTGGTGAATGTGAACCTTGGTGGACCAATTGGTCATCGTGGTCTAAATGCACAACAGCTTGTGGATTTACTGAAAAACATCGTTCCCGCTTCTGTACAGGAGCTTTAAATTATAATAATTACGAATCTAAGGTAAAAGATTCAATTTTAAAATCTTGTGCATCTATCGAAAGAATACACGAAAGAGTTGAAAAAGCTTCTTGTCCAGTAAGTCGCTTATGTTCAGCTATTAATGGTGGTTGGGGTCGATGGAGTGAATTCACTGAATGTTCCGTAACATGTGGCATAGGAAAACGTGTTCGACGTCGTCACTGTAATCATCCTAGACCACAAGAAGGTGGATTATACTGCCTAGGAACTAACTATCAAGAAGTAATTATTCATTTTTCTCAATTATATAACCTTTATTCCAAATGAACTATTTGTTGTCAATTTTATAAGTGATATATTCTAAACTATATGATTAAAAGAGCTTATTATCTACAAAATGTAATGCAACCACTACATTTAAATATACTGACAAAATTTAATATTCTAGAATTCTGTTACGGTATTTTGCAAATCAATATCATGTTAATTTAAACAACATTGATCCACGTGTAGAATAATATACTTGTAGTAAACAGAACACTAGTTGGGGACAATCGAATGTATTTAAGCAAAGATTACAGACTATCTCAGTAAATTCTGATTACCAAAGAATGAACAGTCAATTTGCAAATTAACAATCAATTGTTTCAATCTTCACTGTTTCTTCAATAATTCCATTGTTCATGCATTTTCCAAACGATTGCGCTTCATTTCAGTTCTTTTCTCATCGGTCTTCTGCCAAAATACATTATATGTCTGACCCACACCATATACTACTTATATGGATATAAGTAGATCACACCACACTCGTCCCCCCTTTAAAGCATTCGTTCATGCGGTGGTTCTGCTCGCCGTGCCACTATCTTCTTCCACTGCAGTCTGTGCCAAACTCTCCGTCAGAATGTCGAGTCTGCGGCGCGCTGAACTCCATAGCTCCGTCGACCTGCCGGGGCACCAACATCCGCATCCACCCGGCACCTGGGACGTTCAACACCCGTACTCCACCGGCCTGCTGAGCCATCTACATCCGATGTCCGCCCAGCAGCCGCACGTCCCACTGCTCCTCTCCGTCGACAGCACCTGCTACAGCCAACGCCTCCCGCCAGAACACTCCACTCGACGCCAACTCTCCCCACCAGACTGCCCCAACTAGCACCTCCACTCCAGACCCGCAGCGGCGTCCGCAGAACAGCACCCTTCCTCCTCCTGGTTGGCAGCGACACCAAATGTAGTAAACAGAACACTAGTTGGGGACAATCGAATGTATTTAAGCAAAGATTACAGACTATCTCAGTAAATTCTGATTACCAAAGAATGAACAGTCAATTTGCAAATTAACAATCAATTGTTTCAATCTTCACTGTTTCTTCAATAATTCCATTGTTCATGCATTTTCCAAACGATTGCGCTTCATTTCAGTTCTTTCCTCATCGGTCTTCTGCCAAAATACATTATATATCTGACCCACACCATATACTACTTATATGGATATAAGTAGATCACACCACATACTAACTGAAGATAGCTTTTGTTGCATACTGACATTAAATATAAGACTACTGAAAAGGATCACTGGAGAACGTTTTTACAATAGATTAAGACCCCATACTATAAATCATTCACTATCCTACACAAAATCCAACTCAGGAACATTTTTGCTCATGTGAAGAGTCTGTTAGTATTAGGCCAATGGTTCACTCTTTTAACGTCACGCAGTTTGCGCAATAGAGTAAAAGTTATCAAATGCCATTAGTAGAGTTTGTATTTTATCCGAAAAATAAGTTATATAAGGAACAAAATGAGTAGGATTTCCTTCCATGAGATCTGAAATATAATATTAGTTTATTCAACTGATTATATACTTTTTAATGACATAGACTATGGAATGAAATAAATCACCACATTTCTTCAAATTTGACTGACCCTATCTTTAATTATTTTACATGTATAGACAATATTTCAGTCAAGCTCTTTGTGAGTAAACTAAACTATCCACGTAGAAGTGTAAAGTGATGAATGACGTCAAAAGTTCAGTGTATCCAACTTAATATAATCAAAATAATGAGTGTTTATTGATGCAACTAACAATTGCTAGATGAAATAAACAGCTTAGAACAATCAGTCTTTTTGATAAATTTGGATAACATAATATGAAGGGTAAAATTACCATAGATCTGGAAATCTGCATCTTACACTATTTAAATAATTTAGATATTTTCTGAACACACAATGCACATTTATAACAATCTAGCTTCCATTATGTCAATCACTTCAAATTCATAGACTATGAAGTCCTTCATATCTATTTCTATCTTATTCAGCTGTCAGCTTTCTTATCCCGTTTTAAAAAGTAACATCAACATTGCATACTACTTATTTTCATGACAGCGTTACTAAAATTATTTGTGAATTAATGCAATGGATGCAACTGACTCATCTAGTTCTAAGAACGTAATGCTACTTAAACTAACTATACAAAACATTACTTCTGGTATCTGTACTGTTTTTACATAATTTTCATTTTACAATATTATTTGTTTTTACTAAGATATCTTACTGATATGGACTTCTCAATTCCTTACTTTGAATATATATAGGTGTATCGTAATGATTGAAAATTTTCAAACTGATCATAAAATTTATTTACGTACACTACTGATATATTCAATAAAAGTTTCCATATATATTACTGGATGGTTTGAATAAAGCTCATTAATTTACAACCGTAAAACAGAATAAAAAAATTATTTACTATGCTTTCCATGCATTAAATAGAGTTCTTTTGGAATATTTTTCATTAGAATTTTCCGTTTTAGTATAGAAGTTTTTACATACAGGTATTCTGTGAAGGTTATTTACCGTGTCCACGAACAGGACAGTGGTGCTCTTGGTCACCAATCATTCAACACTGCACGCGTAATTGTGGACCACGTGGGATGGGATTAAGATTGCGCCAGTGTGCTTGCCCGAAACCATCGCAAGATGGTACTGACTGTGAAATACCACCAGAGACAGCAGGAATGATAGGTAATCTATTAGTTAATAACAGTACTGACGCTCCAACGGGATCTGCACTTGAAGCAATACTTAAAGGTGAAGGATTATGGGAACCATGCAACCGTCATCATTGTCCATATTTAAAAACATTAAACGCTGAAGAAGACTTATTAGTATTGGAGGATTTAAATATGCAAAGAGCAGAAGATACCTGGATATCATCAGGTGGTTTGCCACAGAGAATTCATGGTCCATTAAAACTTTTCTGTCCATCATCACGTAATTCTCGTAAGAAAATATTCGACAAATCTGAACGTTTCCCAAAATCCAAGTTTTACTGGACTCGTTCAATTCCTACTTCTTCAAAAGAACCCTATGACATTCCGGGAGTACCAATAGTGAATTCAAATTTATTTATTGTTGAAAATGATCATTTGACTATTCGTAGTTTAGAGCCATCGACTATGGGAATTTATCGATTTGGTTACGAGTATGATCCTGGCTATTTTGAAACAATTTGCTTCTTTCCTGTCTATATTCATCAATGGCAACAAGTATGTGATTATAATGTGTCCAATTTGAAGCTCGAAAGTAACTGAATTTAAGGTAACATATTTTATCAGTATGGGAGATTTGTGACGATTGTAGTATTTTTATGGTTGAAATCAGGAGTCGACCTAATCTAAACCAACACTGAAAAACTGTGGGCATTGGACGGCTTTCACATCCTTGTATTGCACTCCTCAGTAATGCACATCTATTATCCTATACGCAAGACCCAAACCCAGAGCGTTTGTTCTCGCACTCAACCACTGAGCTGGCCTCCAACGATGTTAATGTATAACTCTTATCAATCGTGGATATGCAGTAATGAGAAGTCCCATACTAGCAAGAAACAGCCGTCCAGTACTTCCAATTTTTCAATGGTTGTCTAGCTTACATTGACTTATAATATACTTTCGTTCCAAACAATTAATAAATGAATCGTATTTTCTTAGGTAACAATGAATTTTGAGCTTACATTTGTTTAACAACAATATGCTGATGGTAAAAATAACGCAGTTTCATGAGGTAAAGTAACCTAACAACAGCTTGACCCATAATAAAGATGAAACATGCTAAATCATAAAAAACTTTCAAAATGTCTAGTTTATTAGGAAATAATTCAGACATTTCGTCTTTTATCAGAGGGGGTTTTGTGGAGATTTAGTATTTTTCATAGTTTTAAAGCATGAGTCAATTGAAGCTAGACCACCATGGAAAACCTGGAAACACTGAACGGCCGTTTCGTCCTATTATGGGACTCCTCAGCGGTGCGCATCCACGAACCCGCTCGCGCGAGTTCAAAACCACGTCTGTTGTGAGATAGGAACTCACTGAAGACAATTGGTGAATGGTTGCACAACTTCGTGGATCAGTTGAAGTTAGACATTAACACCGTTGGATGCCAGCTCTTGGTCTATCGGTTAAGGGTTTCGGCTCGAAACTGGTAGGTCCCGGGTTCGAATCTCGCGCGAGCGGGTTCGTTGATGCGCACTGCTGAGTCGTCCCATAATGGGACGAAACGGCCGTCCAGTGTTTCCAGGTTTTCCATGGTGGTCTAGCTTCAATTGACTCATGCTTTAAAACTATTTCGTCTATTAGATTATAATTATCCTATGTAATTGATTAAGAACAGAGTTAATGTACACTAGTCGAATATCATTTGAAATAAATTATTGGCACAGCAAAATGACCAAAGTATTGATAATCATTACGTCCAATATATTTTGAATAATGACCAGCACTGGAATCCGGGACTAGAGTTTAGTATTATTTAAAAAAGAGGGTTTCCAAATTTTTCAAAACCAAATATACTACTTTATTTAAAAATAAATAGAATGACATTTTTTGAAACATTTTGTGTTTAGGTATTATCTCATGGAGTGACATTTGACTTAGTTTGTAATTCGTTGGGATTATGGCCTATTATAAGTAAGTCTGCCAAAACAAAATGGTTCGTTTACTGGAACGTAACTTTATTGGAAAAAGAAGAGCAGAATGATACAAAAAAGCATAAATTATGGTGGTACACAGAATTGAAAAATTCTCATATCAACAAACATGAGGGAAATAATTCATTTGACAATCAAACTGACAATCCATCAATTTTCGGAACACAATTCACATTATGGGATACAGAATATAAGAGACTGCATGATACTGTGAAAAAAATGACTGGATATTATGAATGTCATATATTTAATCAAATTAATTCTACATTTAATCGGACGTTTATTACGCAATCAATTCATCTTATAATAAAATCACCTTCAAATATATGGACTCTAGTAAGTGATAAAATTTTATTTTCATGATAAGAGCTTCTAATACACTTGGGTAATATATTTATTACCAAGATATATCGCTATAATGTTTGTGATATATACATTCAGTTAAATAATATTTGGGACGTTTCAAGCTGATGTATCTGCACCCATACTGACGTCTAAGCAAAGAGTTACACCTCATCCTTATAGCTTCAAACATAAAAATATTAACCAATCTCTTACTGAACCATAGCAGTTACTAGATTATTCGGTCTTAAATTTGTTGTTAATGGAAAAGACTTATATTTTTCTGTATTTGATATTTAATCAGTATTTATGTATCCATCCAGAGTTCATCTGCTAACAGAAACTCATTGTCCTAGTTCGTTGGTAGTGAAGTTTGATTTGACTGAGGTATTTCCCGTCACATAATGACTTCACACTCTGGCGTTCATTGAGACTAAACATTCTTCCTTAGGAGTTGACTCAAAAGAGTTCGTTTTTCAAGAAAAATGATCCTTTAATGAGTTATCATTCCAAAGAATGCCGCTTGGTAGAGACATTTACCGAATGGTTCAAGCGTTTCCTGGATAAGACCAGGACTTATGTTTACCAAAGATGAATTCAAGGTATTTTCTGACTATAGAATGAGTCGATCCTTCTCCAAGAATAGCTAACACCCATATTATTCGATACACTTAAGCACCCCTGAAATGATCCCTCATAGTTCACTTTCTAAAATTCGAGTCATTATAAAATCGTCTAGATATGTCAAGGCTTCAGCACTCCCAGATATCATAGAGTTCTTAGTCTGTTAGTAACGAGGTAAAGGTTGTCACAGGCTGATTTAATATTGTACCTTATAGCCTACGTTTGTCAGATTCCATCAAATTAATCGACTGTGGAGATGTCCACCTCTAATCTAACAGATTAAATGTCTTTATGTCTTGAAGAACCGTCCCCACCGTTAGGTAACTTCGGATGTTTATGACTAAAAACTATCTCACAAAGAATAAATAATTGAACTATGAATATTAATGCTGAGAAAAAAATAACTCGATATAATTAACAGTGAGATTCATTGTGAACACAAAGTAGCCGAGAAAATTGGCATAGATTATTCTAAATATAGTTTCTACCGTCACATGAAATACATTTAAAACTCTTAACCGGACAGATGATTCAATTCCCTTGGCATCTCAATATTGAATATAATGTCCATCAGACAAGGAAAACATAAAAATGCAGCATAAAAACCTACTCTAATAAGTATCTTTATACTTCCAGCTTACTTTTGTTAACATAGACAAGTTTACTAAATAAACACAAAAATTACATCCAAAGGACTCCTCTTACAAATCTGAACCAATGTAAAAATAAAAAAGTTAATCGATGAATTCAGTGTATTTCGATACGTTTTTAACAGAACAGCAAGACTATGATTTATGGACGAACCAATCAGATTTAGGATAACAGGTCTTGGATTTTGGCACGAAATTCATCCATCCATTTAGCTAAATAGCGTTTTGGCATTTTATCTGATGCCAGTTCCTGATGAAAACCGTAAATCTAATTCTTAACCCTGACTATCAACTGTAAATCATAATCCTAATTCCTAACACCGGTTTATAACCGTCATTTAACCCTAGTAGGTAGATGGACATTCTGGAGGTCACTTTAGCATCGCTCAAAGATTGTCCATAATTTATAACCTCACCGAAACATTCAATATAAAACATTAGAGAGTGAGATAAGGATGCTATTTGTAAGTTTTTATTTAAAGGTATAAAAATTAAAATATAATAAAGTGTACAAATCGAATATCAAAGGGTATTATGTAATATTTGAAATTTACATCCTATCAGTGAGCGAATAAACCGACCCACCTGAATTGTCAGTACAAATCTACAATTACTGTGGATCTTTTTGACAAAAAATAAACCGACTTATTTATTAAGTACAGGATTATGCAAATCAGCTTCAATATGTTTTTAAGTGAAAACTAGTTACATCAATTAGTTTAAATTGAAGGTGAGGTCAGGAAATTGTGACCTACTGATTGAAAGTTGAGTGTTTTAACCATTCTTCTATCCGACACCTGATGTCTCAATAAGTGGTATTAATTTATGACTTCATTAGTACAGTACCAATATTACCAATAATAATCCAAAATTACAGAGTTAATGGAGTAAAATGTAACAACTTAACTGGTAAACAACCGTTTTTTTATTTCTAACGAAAATACATTGAATCATTAATTCACATACAACTGTTTTTTATATTTCATAATGATCAAACTCCTCATCTAATCCTTCTAAATCATTTCATCAGTAAGATTAATATCATTATTCTACTTTAAAAAAAAAGATATTAAAACTCAAATGACATTATACAATATAGACAGAGAAAAATCACATTTAAATACTGTTTATTGTTGTTTTCTATAAGGTGAAAGACTGGTGTTTACAGCATCAAATAAATTTAATAATATTATTTTTGATAAGTATGGTAACAAGTTTTTCATATGCAACTTATATATGGATAATAGCTAAGAAATTATCGAAACTAGAAATTCAAATGAATGAAACAAGTAAGCATAGACAAAGTAACAATTTCGATGAAATTCACGTTATCAACTAGTTTCGTCTATTTGATAATAAACATCCTTTAATTCGATCGACATGAATTCAGTTTGACTGAGTTGGTATGAAAGTAACATTTCAAGAGCAATTATACTAGATAAATAACACAACAACAGGAGTGTTAAATAAACAGTTATCATGAGACATAATGCTAAAGTGCAGAAATTCGTTAATACATTATTTGCTTGCACAGAAAGTGTAATTTTCTTTACAAAAATAAGCTTAAAAATGAAAATTATTCGGTTATGTAACATTTCTTCTTATTTTACTCAATATCTACTGAGTTGAACGATAAAATTACTAACATTTTAAATTCTTGTTAACATTATTATTATCCTTGTCCCCTCTTCACCCCCCCCCATTTTCAGTCTAATTGACCTTTTATTTTTATATATAAATGTTCTTAACAAGTCTATTATGTGTGATTAGATTGTTCGAAATGTATTGCGCTAATAAATCATCATATAGTTCTGACAATCTTCATGTTCTTATTAAATAGTTTGTTGATTATTTCACTACAAAATTTTATTTTGATTGAAATAAGATTATGTATTATTCTCAAAACAAGCCATTCCAACTAATCAGAACATAACACGGCTGAATATGAAATAACTTCTTTTAAATTCTTATGTATTATGAGGCTATTAGGCTAAAGTGAGGGGTGTTTTTAGTTGTTTTACGCCCTTGAAAATAGAGAGCTTTTATTGTCGTTTTGGACAACATCGATTCTTCATTGCTATATCAGATAACAATGTTATTTAAAGTGAAAATAAATTATGCTATGAAAACATGATAAGTCATTTAATAAGAATAGTTACGTAAATGAAAGAAACGATGAAAAAAATCAATTTTATTAATAGTACATGTGAACTATGACAATGAAATAACAATATAAAACAGGAAAAGTTCTTATAAAGAACCATTGAGTGAGAAACTGAATCTCCAAAAGAGCTCTGTCCAACTAGTAACACGAGCTCGAAACACTACTTGCACCTTTGTGAAGTAAGTAGACCATTAATTTTGAACCACAACATTACACACCTTTAAAGTTAACTCTGTTGTTTAGCCGTAATTATCATACCATCAAAGTACGTTCTGAGACTTCTGAAGAAAACTGATATCGACTTTGATTCATTATTAAGTAAACATCACTGATTGACAATAACCTGTACTGAGTTATTGTGGATACATTCAATCGTGCATAATATACTCAATACGCTTATTTGTTCAAGAAGGTTTAAATTTAACAACCTTATCACATGGTCAAGAACTAGTTACTACCAGTGTGCATATATCAGAGCGTGAGTAGTAGATATGAGCGTTTTGATTCATAGTACAACTAAAAAACAATAATCTGATAAGACGATATTAAAATTAGTCTGAAACGATTAAGAAGCTTATCATATGACTGTGGCTGCATCGACCACATATTCATTAATTCGTCAGGTTTTAGAGCATAGACATGCTTATCGGCGTCCAACAATGGTGGTCTTTCTTGACTTAAAAGCAGCATTTGACTCTGTAGACCGAGAGGCTCTGTGGCAGTGTGTCATTGAAAGGTGTACCTCAGAAGTACATAAACTTTGTGAAGGCTCTTTACTCGAACACTACCGGTCAAGTTACAGCTCATGGCGAATTCTCATCTGAATTTGCAACCTCAAGTGTTGTCCGACGAGTCTGTCCACTATCTCTATTTGTGCTCAATTTCATCATAGATCTACTGCTAAAAATAACGTTCACGTTGACTGAATTTTCGAGCACTGATCTCCTACCAGGAGATCCACTTAACAACTAAGAATACGCAAATGACATTGTCCTGTTTGGTGAAGACGCTGACAAAATGCAGTCTCCTGTTAGAACTGAGTAATAATGCCAGGATGTTTGGGATGCGTTTCTCCCCCTCTAAATGTAAATTGTTACTCGAGGACTGGCCTGCGTCAACACCTGAGCTAAGGATAGGGAGTGAAGTAGTCGAACGCGTCAACAACTTCACTCATCTTGAAAATCTGATCAGCCCCAATGGGTTGGTGTCTGATGAAATCTCAGCACGGATTCAAAAAGCTCGTTTGTCTTTTGCCAACTTACATCACCTATGGCGAAGGCGAGATATCCGTCTATCAATTAAGGGACGAGTATATTGTGCGGCAGTTCGTTCTGTTTTACTTCAAGGCTGCGAAACGTGGTCATTGGGAATAAGAGGTACTCGTAGTTTACTAGTATTTGACAAAGGTGCCTTAAAAATATTGCTTGCATCTGCTGGGATCACCGGTTAAGTAATAGTGAGGTTAGACGCAGGGTATTAGGGAATGATGGTAAATCAGTTGATGAGGTTGTAAATGTTCATGGACTGAGATGGTCGGGCTACGTATTACATATACCTGAACACAGATTACCACTGCGCGCAAAGCTGACTAGTGTTGGGGATGGTTGGAAGAAAGTTAGGGACGGCCAAACCAAAACGTGGCATAAGTCCTTGGAGTCACTAACTTCCGGTTTTAGTCATGTTGGTAGGTGCAGACTACGTAGTTGGAGTCCGCACGACTATCGTAACCAATGGTTGGAGACTCTGGGTAACATGACTGAGAGTCGGTCACAATTCGTAGATGTATAAACTATTTGTCTGCCCTTAAACTGAGATTAAAATTTCTTCCTTTCTATACTATACCCATGTATACAGCCTATCTTTTATATATCACCACTACTACTATGAATCCGGTGTTCACCTTGTTGTGCTAACGAGGTATGGCAACTTGGACCAATGCATACATGTGCCTTGTCCTACGTTGTAGCTGACTGACTGATATGACCGTTTGAAGTTGTTGCTATGATTATAAAAGTGATGAACATACAATCATTTCATTTTATCATATCCTTAAACCTTGAGACTAAAATTGCTTCATATCTCCCTTCCTGTACTAAATCCTTATATACAACCTTTCTTGATATACTACCACCACTAAATTAATTACTTCTATTAATCCGGTGTTCGTCTTGTTGTGCTAACGAGGTATGGCAACTTGGACCGATGCATATATGTGTCTGGTCCTACGTTGTAGCTGACTGACTGACTGATTTTATCATATGACCAGATTTTTCTGTTTCATTCGCTTCAGTATAAACAGCAAGATAATACTGATATCACTAAAAGTGTAGTTAATGGGGAGATATATATTATTTTGTTTAATTACTGGATTGAATTCAAAAATATCCCTGTCATATTAAAATTAAATCAGATGAGCACCAAGTAAACACATCAAAATTGTTACAACAAAAACAACACCTTCGTATAGTTTATGATCAAATTTTACCTTTTACAATGCTTCCAACATCTGTTTTAAAAAATGTATAAAAAATACGTAAATTATAACCGTAAAACTAAGGTGCCCTTGTTGTTTACTGAAGTATCTTTACTATTTCCACAATACTCTTTTAGAAGGATGAGCGAGAATAATATAAATCAGAGTTTACAAACGAGGCACACTATCGCAGTTGATTACGCCCCTAGTCAAAATCTAAGCCTTTAAATCTTTGTCTGGGTCAAGCATATACAGACTTATAGACTTGAATGCATGTAATTCGAATTTCTAACTAAAGCTTTCTAGACATTTATTAGTTTTCTCACTCTTATTGGCAATAGTGTGTGTATCGGTAGCAGAATCGAACATTGTGGGCTGTAACAAAAAAATATGATTTCCTCTCGTTATCTTAAATTTACATTTGAAAACTACATCAGAAACTGAATAAGAACATGAATAATAGTATTATTATTAGATTATACACAACAAAACTCTTTACAATATTTCAATGTACAATAATTAAACTAGAAAAATCTTCAAATATTTGCTCCAATTGAATCATTTGGTGACATAAGACTAGATTTATGAAGCTTTTGATTAGTAGTACTACTAATACTAAGAGTACTACTACTAGGCGATTTACTCAACTGACTGACATTATTAACATTAGGAGTCCAATGAAGGCATGTAGAATCAATACAACGATCAGTAGCAGGCGGTTTAATTGTACTCAAAAGAGCGTCTACGTCAGGCTACAAAAATATAAATAAAATAATATAAAATATAAGAATAATTGTAACAAATTATTAACAGCACAAATAAAGTTCAACTAATAATCAGCAATTATAAATTTGGAACATATGAATTTGTATTATAGTTTAATGATTAAGGTAATCAACTTTTAGCTATTAAATCCCAGGTGCAAACTACGCCCAAACTACTTCCATTCCGGCATTCGAGTAGTGTCATTAGTTTTTTTAATACTTAAGTGGCTGGTGGATAAGTTAATTAACTCACTTTCTTCCCATTTATGAAATGATATCCGCTTGAGAACCACTGGAAATCATGATATAACACAAGTAAAATTGTTTTATTATAGTCAGCGACTCCATGACAACTTTTTTCGAGTACGAACTCACATAAAATAGAACGTACAACCTTTAGTTCTCTTAGAGAAATAGAAATAGTGTTTCTTTTTATTTTGAATAGGGATGCGAATGGTGCAATCACGTAAAATATTATGAGATGATGAAAACAGGCGGGTGGGTAAGGAAGTTCTAATGTTATAAATCCCAATTCTAGATAGGAATGAAAACTAGTCACAATAAATTGAAAATTCATAGACCATACAATCATCATTTTTATATGAACAACGAATTCGTGTGGGATTTTATATCTGTGGACGTTGAAATCAAAGAACTACCTCTTCAAAGATAAATATCATAAAAACAATAACCAAGGAAACCTAAGGTAAAATTAGATAAAACTAAGAGATATTTGATGAGTGTATTTTGTAATAGTTATCTGACAGAAAAATAAAGTGAATTGAACGAAATTGAGCTGCCATATAGATTTTAACTCTAATGAAAGGAAATGTCAAAGAACACTGAAATGATTCGATAGCGATAGTGAATGAGAAAGAAAGCACGCAAAGGTATTGCTGTAATCGAAACGATTATCGAGAAAGTGGCAACTTTCAGAATTATTTTACAAAGAACCAATTACGAGAAATAAACATTGTGTAATTATTAAATAACTGCATTGTTATATTTCTATATCTAATGCACTGTAAGTTTACTTTGGACCCACTAACTATTGTTAATTAATTACTGACATTTTGTTCCGTTTTCTATAACCTTTTGGTTTGATAGCGTATAAATTATGATTCATTAATTGTGATCTGTTAATTCATGTATATAAACAGATAAATGGTTGAAATATACGTACACACAATTTGCCCGCAAATATGTTCTGTTCTTCAGCCAGCGTATACTTATTTCATCTACAGACTAGTATCTTAAGCTTCAACCGAGTACACTATTCGACCGACAATGATTTACCTTGATCAGTCATGAAACAGTCCAAAAGCCTATCAGATTAAAATTTAAACCTTTCCTCTGTCTTAGTGTTGAGTCCGACAAGAGAATACAGCAAACAAGCAAACTTTCCTTACTTATATTTTAGGCACTAATAAATTTATATTTAGTAATACTCAAACATACACCTGTTTATATAAATGGATTATCTGAACAAAACCCATACCAAATAAGAAATCATACTTTTAAACACTATTAAACCATAATTGATAAAGAATGGAACAGAATATGAATAATTACTGGCAATAGTTAATAGTCAAGTGTATAAAAATAATAATAGTTGATGCATTCAATAGGAGCTGGGAGCAAATGACGCTGTATAAATACTTCCGAAAGTTACAACCTCAATTATCGTTCAGACATAACAGGCTATTGTATATAAACTAGAGAGAAAGACCTCAGTATTTTATATGTTTAATACTTTTGTTGTGCAGGCTACTTATGTTGACAGATATAAGTAGTATGTAGCAGCAATCAGAAGTTCAATATCTGTCAGCAGAAGATTGAATTTGAGAGAACAGGTGAGGAAACAGAAAGTAATTGTAGAAACAAAAGAATTAAAATAATCATGAAGTTTATTTATTTATTTGAACACATAAATATTGGTACAAAGGGACACAAAATACATATGCACCACACAAGTCACCTGATTTGTGTATGGGCTATGATACTGCCCGGGTGCTCAGACAGAAGCAGGTGGTTTTCTTAGGAGGCCACATCCCGAGCCTTTGACCTAAACGTCTGATTCACAAGGCAGTAGAGCAACGTCAGCAGATGCAGTCCCATGGTAGCAGGTAACAAACAATTGGTTCATATGCCATTTGTTCCCTTAAGGTACTGGAACCCATGTACACCATTGGTTTGGAATCAGAGTTTTCCAACTCCACTAGGTGGACTCTCCGTGTTCACCAACCTGGTTAAAGAGTCGGAAGTTCGCTTTTCGTCCTCTCAATTTCGTAAACAACACTCCCACCACGAGAAGGCTGTGAGTACAACTTCCCTGTCATTGATTGTATGCACGTGGCCATGTGAGAACATTTTGGGAGAAAAAGAGAGAGAGCTGACCCTCTCCACCTTCGGCCGTACCAGGGCATTTGGGGGCAACCGAAAGATGTGCAAATAATATAATTAGTGTATGACTTCCAAATTTTACTTAGGCACTGTGTAATTTGACATAAGACAATAAATTGGTTATCCCCACCTAATTTATCATTCAATACACTATCACTTTTCCTCTACAATGGCAAAAAAGGGATTAATTTTAGTTACCGTTTTCAACTTTCCAGATATTCGTACTGCTGATTTTATATGATATAGGATAAAAAATATTCATTTTTTTCTAATTTCGCAAAAAAAACCAAGAAGTTATTCTTTCGATTCTGATTAGCTTGTTATCTCTATATCCATATACGTAGTGATAATTTAAATAGAAATATTATGCATAATTAAGTACAATTCTGTTCTTGCTTAAAGAAATAAATAAAAGACACTAACTACCACTGAGTCTAGATTACCTAGTTGAGGTCTGTGCCGTTATCATAATCAGTGGTCAGATTATCCGAATGATATAGCTAAAAATCGTTCGCAATGACGCATATTAACTCACATTTTTCCTCCTCTTAGATCCCAAGTTTTTAAATTCCTTATAATTTTTGTTAATCTTACTAATCTATATCCTCTCGAATCGTATCCTTGATGCCTAATCCTTTTTGTTACTATCAATACTGTTAACACTTTTAATATTCTGGGATTTGCACTGACAATTTCATCTGTCTGTACTAATAAGGTATGGCAAGTTAAGCCGATGTACACATGAGCCAGGTTCTATGTTGCGTCTGACTGACTAACTGACTGCTACTATTACTACCTTTTCACCATTAAAAAATACAATATGCCAAAAACGAAAACAGTGAAAAATACACTTACTTTATTATTGATTATGTAATATTGTGTCCGATAGCAAACAAGCATCTTCATATCTAATAAAGTGCTTACAATATCAGGAACTGCTATTCCTAATTCTTGACTCATACCTGGAAAAAATGTGAGTTCATCACCGCCATAATAATAATAACAATAATAATAATTTATCGACATGAAAATTCTTCAACAAAAACAAATTCTAGGTTAGTTGAAGGGATTTTGTGGAAATCAGTGTAGTTTATAGGTTTTATTCACCACAGACTAATAGCATAGATCCGAAATCCCTAGGGTTTGATCCCTAGAAGGGTTGTAGGTGCTCAGTGCTGAGTCCCATACTAAGGTAAAAAGTTGTTTAATTCACCCTGGTTTCTAATGTTACCCTAACTGAGATCAATCTGTGATGAATACAACTTACAAAGTATGTTTTATTTTAAATTAAAAATGTACTATTTATATGATATTTTTACTTAGCCGATTTATTTACACTATAAATAAGAAGGGTCTGTATAGAATCCATCAGTGGGGAATTGCCAATGATCAATAAGAGTAACAATAAGTCTACTTCGATTGCCAGTTAACAAAAACACTGTGAAATAAGATTAATGTATTGTATTTCTTGGACTTAAAGATAAAAGACTAATGTACAACACCATTTCTGCTACATTTCCATAGACTAGATCTGTTCTACTTACATTCGTAGCATGTAACTTTGCTTGCTAATGGTTTTCTAAATATATTTTCATTTATGCAATTATACTGCTTTCTCAATCAATTATTTTTTTAGAAGAATGAACACTTGTTTCCACTTGAAGTTGCTTCATATATCTCCATGTTAATTGGTAGTCAGACTGATTAATGCAACTGTGGATCTCTTGAAAGATGAATTTCTGGACATTATATAAGGTTAGACTAGCTTTGTTAAAATCAAAGACAAGTAAACACACAAAACTACCGCCGTCTAAATTTCAACTAAAGCTTTTAATAATCCAACGAAATAAATCATCAAATCATAGGAAACCGAAATTTCAACCACCATAATAATGATGAACTGGTCCTAACATTTATAATCACGTTTCATTGTTGAAAATAAAAGAATAAAAGATCATATATAATTAATTTGCATACTCTCCATCAAACAAGCTGATTATGAATGAAGACGCTGACTTCCTTACGTATGGGGGCATCGTTAAGCGAATGAAAACACTTCTGGCTGAAGTAACTGACTGAAGACCAGTTTAAAGCAATCATCCTCATCTGCAGTCGACAATTACAAAATTTTGGTGACATTATGACGCGGCTACCGTGTCGATTGGACCGGAATCCCAAACTAACTCTGAGTGATATTGCAAATAAATAACAAAGGCTAATAAATCTTCAGCGCGATACTACTATGGTTCAGTGTGGAGATTACGACTGCTTCGAAGTTCACATAGTCCAGCAACCATCCAACGCTGTCAAACTCGGGCCTGTTATACCTAGCACATCTTACCCAAGCTCAGCTCAATAAACGAAGACAAACCCTCCGGATCCCTCCTGGCACTGTGTTGCGTGGCATTCGGTAAGAACACATCCGTTCAAGCAACGTCGTTGCAGGAAATGTAAATCCATTGGTCACAAAGATGGATTCTGTCAAAGGTGGAAATCAAACCAACCACCATATCAGTCCATAAACATAAGAAAGCCTGTTTCTAAACCCTGCGCTAATTCATTGAACCTACTAGAATCGTATCAGAGCACAACCCTAAATGAAAGAAAATTTATTATTTTTAATACTAATGGGCATTCATTTAGATCCCAAATAGATACAGCTTCAGACATTACCATTACCTTCCGTAAATCTTGGATCGAAATGAACAGCCCATGCATTCAGCCAAAAACATAAAAGGATCGTACAGCATGTGGTAGTTATCTGCGTTTGTTCGACCAACTAGATTGTGACATTTCTTTCTGAGAATCGGTGCTCACTGGGGTATATTACGCAACGCCAGTTAATTTAAATCTACTTGGTTTAGATTAGTCCGACCAATTGCAGCTAGCTAAAGCTCCACTAAGTACCATATTACACCTGGCAAGACAAGCCCTGGAACCTGAAGCACATACAAAGAAGTTACGGACGCAGTTATCAGATATCTCCCGGTCGGCGCTCCGCTATGAAGGCAACCCTTCGGTTGAAGCCGGAGGCTAAACTTGTCTTTCGTCCGAAGAGACCAGTGCCATATGCAGCATTATCAAAAGTTGATGAACTTAATCTCCTAAAATTAAAAGGAATTATCACTCGTTTCTTATTCTGCTTGGGCAGCACCTATTGTAGTTATGGAGAAAAATGGTACAACACGCACATACAGGCCTTAATGCAGCCCTTGAACAAAATAATTACACACTGCCTATTCCCGAAGATTTGTTCACTATGCTAAACGGTGGGATATTATTCGCGAAATCAACTCATTGTGCCACCACCGACAATTAAGACGCTACAGCTCTTGACGGAGATCTTTTCCCAGAACGGACTGCCTGATGTAGTTATAATATATGATGGTTCACAGTTTTTTTGTTGCCAGTTTCAGGAATTCTGCCAATGACTGGCCACCATACATTCCCGCTCTCCCCTTTATCATCCGCAGGCAAAAGTCTAAGGACAAAAGTTTGTGGAGACGTTTAAGAGAGGTCTACTCAAGTCAGGAGGGAAGGAGACGCCAATCGAGTTACTAGAGAACTTCTTATTTGTTTACCAAACGACACCAGACGATACATTACCAGAGCAGAAATCCCCAGTAGAGATCCTCATGGGAAGATGATTGAGGACGATCCACAACCTGATGCTACAGAGAACCAGGAGCTACCGAAGAACGGAGTTGGGTCTCGGGTGTTTACTGGGGACTACAGACAAAACCACGATACATGGAGAGGAGCACATGTGATTGGAAAGCGAGGACAAGTCAAGTATGAAGTGTAGGTGTGAAGAGATAGGTGGACTCGGCACCGGAACAAACTAAGGAAACAGTTAGCCTAAGATCGCCCGTCGACAGAAACCTCTGCTCGGAGTTCTGATGGATACCTTCAATCTATCACTGATCCCAATGAAGGAAGAAGTCCAAAAACAAATCAACCTACGTATCAGGTGTTTATCTCAACAATGATGAACAGTCAAGACGCAGATGAATCCCATGAATATGCACTATTAGAAAGGAGAGGTGTTAGACAAACTAGATCCCCAGAAATCAATTCGGAAACATCCTGTTTTTGTAATTTCATTGTGGAGATTTGGATCTATCGTCTTCGCGCCAAAAGCTCCCATTATTACTTTTACTTTGTGTTACCCACCCGGAAGGATCTTAAATTTAATTGGTTCGTCTTCTTTTTCAGCACTCTATTTTGTGACGCTCTTCAGGGACGCTTTTGTATTGTAATCAGAGAGGGGTTTTGTGGATATGATAGTAATTTAATAGTTGAATTCATGAGTCGATTGAAGCTAGACCACCATGGAAAACTTGAAAGCATTGGACGGCCGTTTCGTTTTAGTACGGGACTCCTCAGCAGTGCGCAGCCACGATCCCATCTCACAAGATTCGAACCTAGAACCTATCATCCTCGGGCTTATGTATGATTTGGGTGCTGGTTATTCATTCTTCCGGGTTGGTTGTGGAATTATATATTTTTCCTGTGAACTTCGGTCTTTTTCCTCTACTTAACAGGGCTGGAATGCAGAATAATAACTTAGATTCGTCCAATTATTGCGCTTCTGGTTTACGTTCTGTTCCCTGGTACCAAGGTAATATCATCATAACTAGATTTGTATCATCTCGTTTCTGATATTTTAGCCTGAAATTTGATTAGTCTTGGTTGGCATATGTGCATTTTATGTTGTCTGGCCCTATATAGCCACAAGTGTATAGAAAAATAAATGGAACGTAGTCAGTAGGAAAGTTCAGGATGCCTATTTGGGACTCGTCAGTTAGATGTATCTGCACCTTAAAGCTGATGCTCACTCAGAGACTGATCAAATTTCAGCCAATATATCAACAACAGAATCATCCAAATAATTACAGATTAAGTTAAAATTCATACCCGTCGCACAAATGAGAGACTATCTGGACTTGGCAGGTAGGTAAATAACGTGTTGAAGTTTCAAGCAAAAGGTATTGGGTTCGAGTTCCAGAGTGAACATTAAACCTGAGGTACAGGTACATCTGGATGATGAGTCCTAAACAGAGCAAAACTAGCGTCCTGGATTACACTACATATCACATTTCATGCATTATGCACAAATCTATTTTATAGAACGTTTGGAGGATGAAAGTTTTTGACAAGCATAGTACTATCACACCTCATACGATTATCTAACTGTTATTCCTGAAATTTTTAAAGACTATGTCCAACCCAGACGTAGAACGATAGATGAGATTTTCAAACGAAAAAAACAAACTTTTCAATTAGTTAAACAGTGACATATTAATCGACTACTTTATTCAAAATACATTTAAAAACCTTATTTGTGATGCAGCACCAAAACCGTCGGCGTAATTTCCGTTTTAAAATTGCTTTAATCGAAAGAACGACTGCTGAAGTCATCCTATATACATCTGATTGTTGCTTTGATCTCGAAATGAAACGTTGAAAATTTAATAAATGATACATTTTTTGAAAAAAGAATCGTAAATTATGGTCACTTACTTCGAATATTAATTGACTTAGCTGTGAATGACGATAGGTATTTTAAAATTTCAAAACGCCAATATCTTCTGTAAATAATGATGCCCAAATCTGATAATGGACGTTCTGGTGTACCAATACGTTGTTCTAGTCGACTTAAAATATAACCTTTGAAATAAGAAATAACCATTTCTTAGAAACAAAATTAATTGTATTTGTTAACTAGTATTAGGAAGAATATGACGATTAGACGAAAATCAAAGACAAATGCTTCAACATAAATTTTATCATTATTCCTCAATTCCAAACTAAAGAGTTAACACAGACTACTGTAAGATTATTCTTTAGAAGATAGTTGTTACAGAATACCCAACTGTAGCCATGATATGTCTTGTAGGTTGAACGCTTATTCAGATCCTAAGCCATACGGATAACCCCAGACTAGCACTACTCAGCAACTAGAAGACCAGAAAGAAGACACGAGTAGCAGAGAAAACCTTTACTGCAAGGATCAGTTTTGTACAGAAAATCGTAAGTATTTATAGATGTTTGCTTAAGTTAAATCAACATCCTAATTCAGCCAATCCAATAAACGACATATATTGCTACTGACCAATGGTAGCGTGCCACGTTGGAACTCCAGAATGTTCTGTCGTACTCTGATTGGTTGGGACTCTTTTTGAGCCTCTGGGGGCTCTGTTGGAGTTCGCGGGAAGCCGACTTAACAAGCCACTACCGTAAGATGGTGATCAGATTACCTTAACTTGATGAACTGATGGAGCTATATTTGGTCAGGGCACTTATCTCTTCTAGGTCCTACCATGCCACACAAGTCAGTTAGAAAATGGTGAGACTAAAAACAGGACCTTAAAGTCTGATGGAGACGTCATACTGCGGACCCTATAGGTGCATGACGAACAGGCTGTTAGAGTTGACCTAGTAAATAACCTGTCTTCTTAAGCATGTTTCAAATTTGATAATTTGTATAAACTCAGTTTTTCTTAAACCTTTTTTATTCCTTTTCTGTTTGTTTTTTTGGTAAAAAGTTTGTTGAAATAACTCGTGCTGAGAATTCTATATTGTACCAGATTATAATACTGAATAAAGCCATTAATAATAATAATAATAATAATAATAATAATAATAATAATAATAATAATAATAATAATAATAATAATAATAATAATAATGAAGGGTTTCCTTCACACAACCAGCACTTGCAGCGATGCTGAATGAAAGAATGGGACTTCCATTGCCGACTGTAATGTCTTATCTATAAAATACAGAGCCAGTATTGACCGACCTTGAAGTCGGCGCTTCCTCCCCCCCCCCCTAGTTGTTCAAGACCACTAGAAGTTTGACTAGAATACAACGAATTTTACATTTTAAGGGAAGCCTTTGTAAAGTAGATCGATTGACAATTTCTATAAATATTTAATATACACATACTCATCTCAATAAGCATACGACCAAAACCACGACATTGATACGGTGGTAAAATGAGAATACACGAAAGATTATTGTACACAACATTGACGGAGTTGTCACGTTGATCATCAGCTTTTTGCTACATGAAAAATAAAATGTATGACGATAGTCATTAATCACAATCCAAGAACAAAGAAAATTTACCAGAAAGCTTCAAAACAACAACGGATAAAGAAGTTCGAAAAATGTTTTAATACTGGAATTTATTAAGAAGATTTTTTTAATAATCTCTTCACATTAATTAAATGGTAGAAGATTTGTTTGAATGACCAATGTAAGTGTATTTACTTGAAAGCATTAAATTTGATATTTAATCAACCTTAATTATTGCCTTTCGAAACAATCCCCTTTAATGAACCCGCTTCCTTTGGTTACGCTAAAAATCCTACATTTTTTAAATTTAACTAAAGGTGAACAATATGCCTCAAAAATATTAGATAATGCAAAGATAGGTGTCATTAAGTGAGCCAAAGAAGTAAATACACTACACTCAATAAGAATACATCAGATTGTGATTCAAAAAAAGTTAACAAACATCTCTGTGACGATTTCTACAAAAAAACTAAAGAAGAGAAGACTACTGATAAATCTTCTGATTGAACGATTGGACCGGTTCTCTAAGCTCTTCTAATAACCTTAGGCTAGCCACCATCCATTTCTGCTTATGATGCTTGTGATTTAAGGCAATCCGAACAGGATGCACATATGCCAATAAGAAACTGATCAATTTCAATCCTAAACATCAATGGTAAAATCCAAGTAACCAATACAACAATGAATTAAAACTTCACCCCATTTCACAAGGTAGTGGCTATCTGGACTCAGTAGCTAAATGGATGACGTGATGGCGTTTGGAGCGGACGGTACTAGGTTCGAGTCCTAAAGTAGACATCAGCTCTGAGATGCAAGTACATCCAGCTGACGATCCCCGAATAGAACGAAACGTACACCCTGGATTCCACTGCTAGCCAGCATTCATCTCTGCTTATATACCTATGTACAGTTGGATATAGTGCCCCCGAATGCCCTGGAACGGCCGAGAGTGGGGAGAGTCCGCTCTCCCTCTCCAAATGCTCCCATATGACCACGCGTATATAGCCTCTGCCAGGAAAGTCCTACTCACTGCCTTCCCGTGGCGAGGGTGTTGTTTACGAAATTAGGAGGACGAAAAGCGAATGTCCGGCGCTTTAACTGGGTTGGTGGACACGGCGAGTCCACCTAGGGGAGTTGGAAAGCCCAGATTCCAAACCAATCATGCACATGGGCTCCAGTTTCCTGAAGGAACAAATGGCGTATGAATCAATCGTTGATCACCGGCTACCATGGGACTGCCAGAATGACAATGAATGCCACAACAATTGAATTATTTAGTTCAGAGAAGATTAACACCATTAAAAACTTATAAAACCATGAGTATATTTTACTTACTTTTGAGAAATAACCAATAATATGTGAACCATCTTGATCTGTTTCAGTTAATACATAGAATAAAAATGCAGGAACTTGATCTAATTCATGAACTGTTTTTTGTTTCAGAAATAATTTAGCTAATAAACATAAATTTCGACAGTATTCCTGTTGAAAAATTTGACAAAATTTTTATTAATATAAAGACTTATCACTAAACAATCTTCTTTTTAAAATGTACTAATCACCAAGAAATATTAATAGATAGACAGATAGAATGACAAGTTAATTTAAGGTATACATCGTACAGTAATATGTTTTTTATAGCATAATCAAAACAATGATGTAATCAAGCTATTTATATGATTAAAAAGAATACCGCTCGTTGTTAACCGACAATGTTTACTATTCAAACTAACGACTTACAACCGACTCTTAATTGTTTCCCAGCTAAACATCGATACACGATACTAATTACCGATATAATAGACCAATAAAACAAACTACAATGTGAAAATTATATAAAACATACTTTAGGTAAACAAAGATACAAACCTGGTTAGCAGAGATGGATAGTGGCTAGCAGTGGAATCCAGGACGCGCGTTTCGTCCTATTTGGGATTCGTCAGCTGGATGTACCTGCATCTCAGAGTTGATGTTCACTCTGGGATTCGAACCCAGTACCCTCGCTTCAAACGCCATCGCGTTATCCACTCGCAAGTGGCTATCAGGACTCAGTGGCCGAGTGGATAACGCGATGGCGTTTGAAGCGAGGGTACTGGGTTCGAATCCCAGAGTGAACATCAACTCTGAGATGCAGGTACATCCAGCTGACGAATCCCAAATAGGACGAAACGCGCGTCCTGGATTCCACTGCTAGCCACTATCCATCTCTGCTAACCATGCTTGTGAATTAAGGTATATCGAGGCAATACGCACAGTATGCACATATGCCAATTAGAGACTGACCAGTTGCAGTCCTAACAAATCGATGGGAAGATTCAAACAAACAATACTAAGTTGAATTTAAAGATACAAACCGTTTAAAAATCCCAATCATATTAAAAGACCAATATTTGAACGAAGAATATTCTTTTCGATAAATTCTCTTCAAGTTCTACAATTATATATCCAAATTAATAATCCGAAAAATTGGCCAGGTTAAAGGCAAAGTACATAGTTTAAAGCATGTAAATTTAGGATTGTCAAACCAAATAGTTAATGTTGATATGATTTGTGAAAAATTTAAAATTGGCCTACCACATGACGATATTATCAAGTTGAATGGTTTTATTTTCATTGCTTCAAGAACAAACTTCCTGTGGTGAATCATTGTCATTTACATGCGTTAGTTATTTGATACATTAAAAATCATGATATATAAATAAATCCATGAACAACAATTGTATTTTTATTTTGTCTTTTTTGTATAATTTATTGGTAACTAAGTAGTAGTGATCAATATCACGTTTTTATTCCCTTAGTGGTGACCGAATTCTATCGATCAAGTGGCAGTGTAGCTAACAGTTTAAGTCAATATCGTGTGTACTACGCTCACATGATAAGTGTTTGGAGGTAGTGATGTGGTTTGAACAATATTTAAGGATTAGATAGAAACGACATTGGTCACTACTCAAATAAGCAATCAACTATAACTACCTCATTCCCACAGGATATCAGTAATAGCCTGAATAGATTCGTAGTCATGTCTCAATCCGTGAAGCCAGGTTCGAATCATATGGAGAGCATTTTCCTCCCAAAACTGCAAATAAACCTTGCTGACGAATACCCCCAAGAACAAAACTTATGTTCAGAGTTTTCTACTGACCATCACCAACCAACACTTAGTATCCTTTTTCTACGAGTAACGAAATTCTTAATTAATGACCTATCTGTCTAACATCAGATTCGGAAAAAACAAAGACATCACAATGTGTGAAAAAAATAAGATAAATACATGACTATTCCACTTTGAAAATAAAGAATTTATAAGCTAAAAAAAACTAATTTCCAGATATTAATATATGATTTCAAAATTTTGATCATTTATATTCTCATCCTTTCTACACAACAAAAAGTTTACACTAGTCAAACAAAACAATAGGAACTATGTTTAAGAAATTTACAATAGTTACAATTCAGTAACTAAAGATGTTTCAATGAGAAAGTTTCGTGAACCATTCAAAATCTATATTTTACACTATACACAACTACTAACTTTACATACATACACAATTACTCTGTGTATATTCAGAAGATCTTCAAATAATGATGGAGATACTATTAAAAGATTCTACTTTCCTACAAACAATCTACAAAAACGGATCAAAAAGATTATGATAAATTAGCAGAAAATATTACTTCCTTATTTCTAATATCTATGTAATTTACGAATTTAATGAAAAAGTTGAAAATTCCAAAATATGTATACGTCACTTATGAGTGTTTGAATATTCTCGTTTTTAAGACGAAAAACTGAAATCGGTCAGTTCCTTTTGGTATATGCACATCCTAAGCGGATACCCTCAATGTTGTCATCCAGTTACGAGCATTTTCAAGCTAGCAATGGAATCCATGAAGTGCGTTTCAACCTGTTTGGGACTCGTTACCAGGGTATACCTAGATCTTAAGGTTAGTATTCACTCCTGAACTTGAACTCAGTGCCTTTCGCTTTAAACGCTAAATGCCCCATCCACTTCGCTACCGAGTCCAAACAGTCATTGGCTTTTCCAATGAGAATTAATTTTATTTCATTTTTGATTGTGGTTATCAATAAAACCCATGAGAAATTAAACAAAACTTTTTTTTAAGAATACTTACCTGATGCTTTTGTCCATCAATTTCAAAAAACGATAAATTCTCTTTACGATATATCTCATTACCTGGAGGAAACGTTCGATCACAATTAATCTGTAATGATTATCATGATACATGAATAACACTTTACCAACAAAATAAAGACAATTATTCAAATATGAAATCATTAAAAAGACAAACAGCAGGGATATGTGAGAAAAAGGATAAGAAAATGTGATATATGTAGTAAATAAGTTTACTACTCAGCAGAAGTTCAATCATTATATATATATATATATATATATATCAGTCGATAAGTGGACCTCCTGGTAGATCAGTGCCCGAAAATTCAGTCAACGTGAACATTATTTTTAGCAGTAGGTCTATGATAAATTGAACACAAATGGAGATAGTGAACAGACTGGTCGGACACCACTTGAGGTTGCAAAATCAGATGACAGTTTTCCATAAGCTGTAACTTGACTGGTAGCGTTCGAGTAAAGAGCCTTCACAAGGCTTACGGTACACCTTTCAATGGCAGACACTGCCACAGAGCCTCTCGGTCTACAGAGTCAAATGCTGTTTTTAAGTCAAGGAAGACTACCATTGTCGGACGCCGATTAGCATGTCTGTGTTCTATGAATTGCATCTACTATTTATCAGTCCTGGAAAGCAGAACATATTAAAAAGTCTACAGAAATTCACGGTGCCATTTAGATCTAAACAAATATCATCCATCGATGTAATTACATGTTGACACCAAACATTTTAACTTAAAATTATATCATCACATACTTTTCCTCACTATAATAAGTAGAATCATTAATCCGTAAAACGCAGGGATTACTTTGATTACTATACGGCAAGTATTACGTGAACAAAATTATTGGTGATATGAAGGGAACTATGGGAATGTGATAACTTGTAGACAAAAGAGCAAGAGTAATATAAGGAATACACTTACTTTATGACGATTATATGCAACTGTATGGCGCATTCCAGATAGACAGAATTCACAAATGTATATGGTAGGTAGACAACTCAAATCGGCAGGATAATTACTGTGGTACCACGGTTGTAAATCCCATGTCCCAAAAATAACAGAACGTATGCGCTGTTCTGTAGCGAACTCGATATTTTCGGAAAATGCTTAATCTTATTTTGATGTAAAATTACAAACTACCATTATTGGGTACATTTCCTGAATTCGAAGCTACTCGTGCACACAGAAGCAAATGTTCCCGGGCATCCGTCTCCTTGAATGCAGAAAAAATAAAAAATAGACAATAAACCCATCGTTAACTGATTTTAAGATATTTCTTAATAGACGAGCAAGACTTGAAACGAAAATAAATAAACGTAGGTCAAATAATGACATTTTCAATCAAACCGTCGTATAATGCGATGAAATAACTACCAAAAACAGAAGTTTATTAAAGCTAACATTAAGAACAGTGGTTTGCATTTATGATTTATCTTTAACAATATTTCATGTGATATTTGATTAGAAAGTCTTAAAGTTCTTCAGTACTAAACAAACAAGCGTATGCTTTTAACACTAGTTGGTGCATTCCTGAGTTGATTTTGAGTCTTGTGGTTACTAACCTATACGTTCTTCTAATTTTAAGGTATTTCAAACCATCAAATAGGTAGTGAACTACCGTATATGTCACGTGTAAACATCTGTTTATCAAAGGAGTAGAAAGTCAAAGATATTTAACATGTAGGATTAAAGACAATTATCCACTAATCTATTTCACGTTTTTCCCATTTTTATGCGGTATAACTAGCTCACAAATAGGAGTCAAAGTTAGGATACAAACCATTACGACAACGAGACTTTTCACCTAGTACAAGCATATAAAATACGTCAAGACCAGTACAGACGGTGTAAACGATGAGATAACTAAGTTAAATCTTAAAATCACCAAGTCGAAGATGAAATTGTTTTTCAGGATCAGCATTACAAAATAAGAAACCAGAATGTCCAACACACAAAACTTAAAGCTTTAAAAATAATCTATGAAAACAAAAATCGAAAATGGGATAGCACTGATGAGATATTTAAAAAGATTCTTTAAGTTGGAAATAAACAAAATGAAACGAATAAATCTTATATCTGCTTACGTAAGTTGAAACCAATCTTTGTTGAGCACGACGAAACTGATACAACTCCACTTGACTAGCTAAATCATCAAGCACAGGTTCCCTTTGTGTAGTCTTAAACTGATGTGAACGGTCGACCCTTTGTTTAACTTTAGAAGGCGATGGTGAATTTTGAGATATCCGTCTAATGGATTCTGGAACAACAAGACCTTCTTCCCGAGCACGCATCTCCGCCCATTTCACAAAGCTCATATTGTGATACAAAGGGCATCCAGATAGGGTCACGTGTGCAGTATCTCGGCCATTAATATGACCAATCCCAGAACATCCAATTAAAGGACAATTAAGAGGGACATTTGAACTGTTCGCTGATAAGGCCTGATTGAATTCTATAGAAAACAAGAATGAGAGTACAGATAGCTACTTTTCTGTTTTTGCTTTGCAGACCATGAGACAAAACGATGCTTAGATTTAGGCAGTTTGGGACGTGAAAATGGCACAGGTCTTTCCATTTGAGAAAACTGATCACTTTTTATTGACCTGGAATGGAAATTTAAATAAACATCCCAGTCAAAAATAAATGCAGAGAAAAAGCGATAAGAACAAATCAGATTCGAAACCAAGTTGCGAAGTTTTAAGCAGTTAGATGTCACTAACCTGCAAATCCAAAACAATCACTTTCTAGATTTTTCTCAACGTGATTATTAATAAACGGTAAAATAATGGGATAAGATATACTGTAAATATTAAAATACATATTCACAAACCCAATAAACGGCTTCGAACTCGATGACCTGAATGTAAAAACATAACAGCTTCTAACCAGTAAGTCACAGGTTCGAAACTCCTCTAACCTACTGTGGTTTGGCCAATCGTATTGTGTCACTGACCTTATATTCCAGTGCATAATCCCACATTGAGTAAATGAAATTCATCTCTCACTACACTGAAGTGACGTAAAAACTTGAAATGTTTGGTTTTAGTTAACAAAAATAGCACTGTTTGTTGAATATGCCCTAATTTGTGGTCTTGAGTGCTGTTAGAGATATGAAGACAGTTATCACTTCCTTCGTATACTATATCCTTAAATATACATCCTTTTATATTCTACCACCACTAAATTAACTATTTCTATGAATCCAGTGTTTATTTTGTTGGGCTAACGAGGTATGGCAACTTGGACCGATGCAAAAATGTGCCTGGTCCTACGTTGTAGCTGACTGACTGATATGCCCTAACAGCTAGATAATTTAACCAAAATTTCATGCATATACTATGCCCTAGTTAAACGCTTCAAAGTGACTAAAGTTTACCAAGGACACTGGTATTGGTCAAAAGTTGTTCATCAATTATAGTCCCCTCGAAGTTATCAGGGTTACCTGATTAAAAGTCAGATATGACCTGTGCTGACAAAAACAACTAATTATTTTGGTTCGACGAACAGTACTTATATTATATAATACAGGAGTCTTCTTACATGTCACACGATTGCAATTACACGCAAAAGCTTATAAAAGTCACATATAAGCATCGTTTTGTCAATCCTAGAAAAGAGCTGTTAACAAACAATTCAGGTGAAAAATTGTGTCGATTAAAAATCTACCCGGCAATAAAAATCTCATAAAAAAGTTAATCTGAGAGATTGAGATACATTTTGAGATTGCATTATTATTTAGATTATGAGAGAAATAGCAATACCCGAGAATGAATCTGCATGAAACACTCAAAAAGTGATATCATTACTTCTTTTAAAATATTATCAAAAAAGAATCATCACCAGCTAATTGAGTGTAAACATACAGTACGAGTAAGCGCTACTTGCGTTTCCAATTCTTTAAATTTTCCACAAATATTTCATTATTGATTTTATAGTGACGTCAAGTGAACAGAAAACGTATTAATGCTTACCAAGGTTATCGTTTGCTAGGCCTGAACGCGATGTTTGTGATAAACCAATAAAACAAATACAAATACATTTCCATATGATGCAAAGTATATAGAGAGAATGACTGTCACAGTTCGAACTAATTGTGGCGCATTACCTAAATATTGCGCACTTTTACTTCAATGCATTTGATGTGATATTGCATAAACTAATTGATTTCTTTGCAATTCACTTCTCGTCGTTTCAATATGGTTAGAGATATTTGTCAATTTCCAATATGTAGTAGTCTATCAAATTCACTAGTCGGTTTAGCAGTTATATATGGATTTTTATATATTTTCAGTCTGAGTTGATGGATGTCAAAATTTTAAAAGTAAAAATGGGAAGACAATAACATGTACAAACCCGAAAAAATATTATATGGATATACCGAAAGATACAGTGCGTAAGCAAATCCAGATGAGATGAGTTTGACGTTCAGCTTTTGAGTACGTTTCCGCAGAGCCTAAGATTACCTTGTATGCTAAGACCGTGAAAGAATCTAGAAAGGAAACGAACGACAGAACGTGTCAGCCGATGACTCAGAAAATAGATAAAATTCTTTTCCAATACCTAATATCTTTAGTACGATCGTATACAAAACCGATTCATATTTGGTTATGTCCAATGGGTGGTAGTTTGCAGTTACTTGAGGATTTATATTGTGGTTGAATGAGTGCGTTTGTCTCAGAGCAGTAGGTTTTCTGGATACCAGTAACTAGCACATTAAGAGGTAGAAGGTTAGTTGATTTGAAAATAACAGTGATAAATCGAGTCGTAAGAGGTGATTACTTCAAGAATGAATAAATAATTTTCTTAGTATTATGTATGTAGACGGAATAGAGGGGACATTGTGGACTTCAATATGAGGCCATGAACACGTTTTACGCAGTATTAGGGATAACGCTTGGGTGATTGCACAAAATTGTCAATGCATAAAGTGGAGAATTGCGTTAGCATCGGCTGCATTCTTTACGTATATTGAGATGATGTGCAAGCGCTTTTTGGTTACACGCCTGAGATCAAACATTGAGGAGGCAACATGAAGTAGATTTCCATCGAAAGTGTAAGTGGTTTGTGTCGAATAGGGAGGAGTGTTCATGACAGGACATTTCGACAGGTTACGTTTTAACTCATTGTCTACTGCCCATTCCTCTATTAATATAAGGTCCTCTTGAATCTCAAATGAACCTTTTCCGCTTTTTATGGACATCCAGGTCTTTGACTCGTCTGTGTAAATCAGGCTTGTCGAGCAAATTCTATCGTCAATGGAGAACAAGAACAGGAGTAGACCTAAAAATCTTGTTTGTGAAACACATGATGTTAAGGCCCTCCAACCGGCGTGCCCTCTTTACCATAGTACGAAACATCCTGTTCTTTAGGAAGTCTCGGATCCAAGATAGAAGCAGGCCATTGAAACCTATCTTTGCAACCTTCGCTATGAGGAGTACATTAGGCAACGTATCAAAAGCTTTAGCGAACTCAAGGAATATTAGATTAATCGGTATATTTTGTTCCTAACAGGACTTCCAAGTTCACCATGCTATGAGGAGCGTGAACTCACAAGATCTACCTTTCCCATGCCCATATTAATCTTCATGTAGGATGTTCTTTTTATCTATGTATTCTCTCATTTGTTAATTCAACAGTCTTTCCATCACTTTCAAACAGTATTGAGAGTAATGCGACTGGTCCTAAGTAGTCGGGGTTTTTTCTATCTCCTCACTGAAAATTGCAGAGACAATGCTTCGCTTACATTCTCTTGGCATTTGGTGTAGATCTAGTGAGTGCCTCAACACGTCGCACACTAATATACTAAAGGTCTCCGCCAACTGTTTCAGTTGTTATCACATCTTGATTTTCTTGGGCGCAGGTATTTTAGTCTCTGAAATACCAACTGAAGACAGAATATCTCTCAGACCCTCAGCTGCCACCAAAATCCAGAGGTACTTCAGGCTTCCACACTCCTAGTTCGACTGGTCTATGAAGTTAGCATTATACATCTCCATTGAAATCTTTGCCACTTAGCCCTTTAATAGTACATATGCCTTGTCTTATAATGTAATTGGTTCGTAACCACAAGGGCTTCAAACCTGAGCACATAATTACTGAGATTTACATCCAGCACGTAACACTAATAGTAGGTTAATAATGGTGAACACGGGAAAAATCCTTCGAGATCACATGGCCCGGCCAATATAACCTGCTTCTTGTACTATATACTAATCACTCCCCAGCTCAAATGTGTTCTTCACATTGCTGATCGTCACGGCGATTCAAAACAGAGGAACTCCCACACATGAAGGCACGTGTGTCGAACACCCGAGCGACATCGTCCTAGCGGTTCGAGTTAGTTGATACTGGAAATATGAAACACAATACATGGTAAAGCCACATATTCTATACACAGAAGTCAAATGACTTAACTGACTCACACCTGTTTAAGCAGTCATCTAGTTGATTCTAAATGATAGGATCTCCCTGGTCAATATTTTACAGGACATCCGACGTCTGTGGAACTGACGTAGCTATGCTGTAATTGAGACAGATGCGGAGGGCTGCCTATTACAGAAAATTGTCAAACCAAGATATGACCTAAACCGTACATAACTGTACACAACCTGAAAGTCTCGTTAGCGGATACAGCATTTAACTCCCTAACGGATTAGAAACAACCCTATCAAATTTGACCGTGCAGTATCACCAAAATTCACAATAATAAAGTAAGACTCGAAACTAAGAACGTATAACAACGTATCAGACATAAGTTAAATGACATATATGTTAATTGAAGTGATTTTTGAATACAATAAACAGTGTACAGCAAATCATTATCAAAGGATATATAAGTCTTCTTTAAAAAAGAGATAGGCAAATACAAATACAATCTATTTAACACGTTTCCGTTGTCTGTCTGTATGAGGCTGTTTATTTTCGTCGCGAACTCGTAGAGGTACATGCCGTGACACGGTTGAGACACCATCAACAAATTTTGTTTTGAATAGTACATTAGCATTGTTGAACATTCCATCCTTAAGTGACACCACGATGAACTAAATCAAAAGGGAGTATAAAAATAAGGAAGCAACTAAACTAAGTAATGTTAAGTTTCTAAATACGAGTTATATAAAAGATGCAACGTATTTACATAACTACATAAATCTCTGTTATTATGATACGCGTAAGATAATACTAATAATGCTGTGATGAACACATCAAAACAACAATCACTATATTTTTATTGAGAGATTCTACACACCCTTCATTTAAAACGCTGTGCGGTAAGGCCGATCTACTTGAAATTAACAGGTTGCGAATTAGAACCTCGCTCCATCTACATATATTCGTGCAAATTATCTGCTGAGAAGAAAAGGGTCTATACGTCTGTACCATTTGAGGCAGATTAGCATAATTCCGAAAGAGTCTGAAAGCAACCATAGACGAAACGCACTATGCTGCTAGACTGAAAAAGCTAAATTCATGGTTCCATATAACATTAAACGTCATACAAATGACTACGTCACATTTCATAGTATTCACCTTTTCACATGCTTATATGGACACACACACAAACAGAGCAATCAAGGGTTATGAAATGTGTGCCCAAACAGTTACAGAGTGAGTTAGTATCAAATACTCCGAGATACATAGGAAGCAGAAAACCAAATTTATTGATAACAAAACATATAAACACGACAAGTCATAGAATCGACCCCAGTACAAGAACAGAATCTTAGACTTATAGAACCACTAGTTACTTGAACATTTAAATGCATTTCATTAATACCGGAAAATATTTTGCAACCCCGAGACAGCACTGTTAATCATTATGCGAATTTACGACCTGGTGTGATGTGACAGTTTTTTATCCTTCCCATAATACATTAATTTTTTCGTGCCTATTTACAACTACTACTTTGTTTTCGTTCGAAATCTCATTTAGTTAACCTATATTAGTTTTTATGAATGCTGTGACAACTATTTATATGACCGGATTGTTTGAAATGTATAGCATAAATACATAACTATTTTCAGATTACTTCCGTTCCGCAATAGCTCTATTAAGAAGAAATAATAATGACCTTTTATTGTAAACGCCTTAACTTGAAACAGAAGCATGTCAACTGTTAAACATAATGTGTAATAGTGATCTCCATTCAAAGTTACGTAAAGACCATAATGCATTTACACACTTCCAATAAGCCAAGGAAAAATACTGCACATAATAATGCATATAAGCTAAATGTTCATATTTTTCTAACCCATCATGTGAATATCAAAAAAGAAGTGAATTGCAATTTCCACTGTTAAGAAGAATGGGTTATCCGTCAAATCTATCTGTACATTCTTACTCCTTTCTCCCGTATTCGAATATTTTTGTACATTATATCATACTACTTTTTTAAACAGTAAATAATTTCAAGTTCCATCAATTCAAACATACAATGCACAACACGGCTTGGTTATTGAATGTTACTGCTTAGTGTTTGCATAAACCTGTGTCATTTTGTTTACTTGTCATTTATATGTAATTTTGGTAGTCACTAAAACATTTCTGGTGCATTCATCGAATTTTTGTCACAAAGTAGCAGCTTCCAATTTTTTAGATCTTAATGTCTGTTTCAGATGTTGACAGCTGGCGAATTTGGACGCAGATATGTACTGATGTTGAGATTATTGTACATTTGTAAACAATCATTATAAAACCCTTAGGAAGCATCTCTCTTATGGTTAAACATATCGACGCTTCATGAATATAGGTATGTTAATACTTAGTATATATTTTTACACTCTTCTTCACATAACTCCTTTGTTTGAATTCTGAATTTAACAAGTCAGTTATTGGGTTAGGAACTCAGGTATAATCCACAATGAAATCATCTAACAATTATTGAAAACGAAAAAAGAGAAGTTTTCAATATGCCTACCTGTGAATGCTTAAAATGATTTTTAATCAACTGACCAATATTTTGTGTATGAGATAAATCGAGCGCTGCATCCACTTCATCTAATATATACAAAGGTGCTGGTTTGAAGAGTAATAAAGCCAGAATAAGCGAAAGGGCAGCTAATGACCTACGGAAAAGATAAAATAATAAAACACAAAATAAACCGTCACAAAAGCAAAGAATG